GTGACTGTACCGAAGAGCAACGCGGGGTCAATGGAGAATGTCAAGTTGCCTGTCATGGAAAATCTTGAGGAAACGGAAAAAAGGAGAATCCGAGCACATTCTATTTAAAGAGATGCTGGAGCTCTTGATAAATTTCCGATAGGTGTTCAACTTTTTTAACACCCAATATATTGCATTTTCCACTATTAAAGATTACGCATGTGCCCTTTTCTAGCTTAACTGTCATTCCCGGAAATATTTCAGGTTCATAATATTTGTCTGCAGTTGAATGACCGATACTCTCCAAATTTTGTCGATTAATCTGACATGAACCAATTATGTTGACAACCTGATATTTCGTTATACGTGCTCTCTTGTATCCCATAGCGACAAGTTTTCGACAAAAGTACCGTGCGTATTTTTTCGAATCAGAAATCGTTTTTCCACCATTAATAGTTATTTTTCCGTTGCGATATAACTGACAGTGGAATTTATTAGGGAAAATAACGCGCCACAAAAGGCAGGAAAACTTTTTTGGATTATATTCTGTGATAAAATTTCGGTTAGCATTAACGTATTCCAAATTAATTTCCTCATTCAACTCTGCAGTCGCAACAATATTTGTTATGTGAGCCATGTATCCCAAAGTTGGTTACGATCTCAGATTCCAGTGGCCTTTCGGTGCATTAATATGTGGTCCGACAATGAGCGGAAAAACACAATATGTTCTCAGAATGCTGAAAGGTAGTGCAATGGATGTTATGCCAACAAGAGTCGTGGTAGCTTATAGTCAATGGCAGGACTCTTATGAGGAAATTAAAAAAGTTTTTCCGTCAGCAGAATTTATAAAGGGATTACAAGGAGACCTCCTCGAAAACGAATACTTTTCCAAAACAGATAACAATCTTTTAATAATTGACGATTTATCCGGTGAAATGGCGAAGAGTGAGCTAGCCACAAAATTATTCACACAGGGCATACACCACAGAAACTTATCGGTAATTTATATAACGCAGAATTTATTTAAACAAGGCAAATCAAGTAGAGACATAACTTTAAATACGCAGTACATTGTGCTATTCAAAAACGTGCGCGATAACAGTCAGCTTGATTATTTATCACGGCAAACAGGATTTAAGCACTTGAAAAAAGCCTATAATAAAATTACATCAATCCCGTACGAGCCTTTGGTTTTGGATTTAAAACCAAACTGCCCGGATTATTTACGAGTTAGATCACATGTTGTACAGGAGAATAAAACCGACATACAAACAGCAAGAATATATACGGATCCAAATTTCTGTGCCATACCATCACCATGACCAGACATTTAAAGGAACTTGCGCCGTTTTTATTGTTTCTCTCGTCTCTTAATGCAAAAGATCGAAAGGCCGTGGCGAATCATTGCAACAAAAAGCATATTAAAGGGCTGGAAGAGTGTTGTTTAAATATTGTGAAAAACACTGTAAACTTGTCACCAGCTGATACCCAAATCTGTAGGCGCTGGAAGAGACCTATACGATTATTGGCATTGCGTCGGTATCCTGTAAAATCCAAAAAAGCGCTCCTGACACAAAAAGGTGGTTTCCTTGGAGCTGTTCTTCCAGTGTTAGCCAGTGTACTAGCTGGCGCTCTTAATGCTCAATAAAAAAAACAATGGAAGTGCATTACATTGTTCCGGAGCGAGACATTAAAAAGCGGGCAGCTGAACTCACTGTTTTGCAAGCTCCGCCCGAAGCAAGTAACATTTTATCGTTGGGTGACCTGACGGCAAAAATTCTGTCAAGTACAAACTTGAGCGAATGGCAAAAAGCCCAATTACTTAGCAAGAATTTAGAGCGTTTCATGGCATTAAAGCCGCGAGCACTCCAAGAAGGCAATCCCTTGGACAATCTTCCTATAAATATAAACGATACAACTTCTGCGGTTCCATCGGTCCTATCGACCCCGTTGGCTGAGCACAAGAAGGTCAAAAGAAAAAGATCGCGAAACACTACGGCCACACCGACAACACGGAGAAAAATCTACAAGAAAGCTCTAACGGATATTGATTCTGACAACGCGGGGTCGGACGGGTCAGGGGGATATGATACGGAGCCTCCGTTGTCGTATCTGGAGCCTATTGTGAAGATAAAACGCGGAAAGCGAGTGCTCGAGCAATCAATGAACGAAACGAAAATATCGCCACAAAACAAATATCAAGCAGTAAGCCCAAAGAAACAACTTCCCCGAAGGGGAGCTCGAGAGCGAGAACAGACAAAGTTTTTTATTCAAGGACAGGGTATTAAAGGCCGTTGGTTAAAAGTTTTGTGAAAATGTCTGGATGCGTGCCTTTAAATTTAAATTTCGGGCAAGGAATGAAACTGAACTGTGTTTCATCTTGTTGCTCTGATGACAGCGACGAAAATAAAATAGAAGACTCTTCTAAAGAAGTAGATAAACCGAACGTACCAGTCAAATTCGACCAGCCTGTATCCAATGGATCAACACTACCTCAACCCGAGCGCACTGAGTAGTCTGGGAGGATTAGACCGTTTCTACAAAAATCTGCCGGAAAATGCTTCAAAAGATGAAGCAAAGCGAGTTTTGGAGGGTATTGACGCGTATACATTGCATAAACCTGTAAGGCGAAAATTTAGAAGGAACCCGGTTATTGTTCTCAACAAAAATTCACAATTACAAGTCGATTTGATGGACATGCGAAAGTTCAAAAAATGGAATAAAGGATACACTTATGTGCTTGTTGCCATTGACTGCTTTTCTAAGAAAATAGAATGCGAACTAATCAAGTATAAAGACGGTCCATCTACGGCCGTGGCATTGGGTAAAATTCTGAACCGCATGGGTCCATTTGACAAACTACAGGCTGATAAGGGTCGTGAATTTTTTAATAAGCATGTAAAACAACTACTCCGCCAGAAAAATATTGTGTTATTTAGTTCGGAAAATGATGACATAAAATGTTCAATGGCAGAACGCGTCATTCGCACGTTACGTGATCGCATCTGGCGTTTATTCACAAGTCGAAAATCGCCCCTATATCATGATCAGTTACAAAACATTGTGAACGCATATAACAATACCCCGCATTCTTCACATGGCTTAAGCCCTTTGGACGTTTCTGATGAGAATTCTCTTCTCGTATTTAATCGACTTTATGGCAATACGAACCAAAAAAGAAAGAAAGCAATATTTAAGGTAGGCGATTCAGTCAGAATTGCAAAGAAAAAAAGAGATTTTGAAAAAGGATTCGAAACAAATTTTCAAGAAGAGCTATTTAAAATTGCAAAAGTCATACCTCATACGCCAGAACCTGTCTATCGGCTTGCAGATTCAAAAGGTGAAGAAATATTAGGAAAATTCTATGCAGCCGAACTAACACGGATTCGAAAATGAATAGTCTGCAATATCAGCAGCCATTTTACGTAACCCTTCCCAGTGATGCATGTACGGATATTTATATGGATAATACGGCCTCCAGTTGGAAAACCAAACTATGCAAAACAATTTCATTAACTGGCAAGTGGGAGGTGGCTGTTGTGGAACTATGTTATCCGAATTCCATGTACAACCTTCCCGGAGAACAGACGATGGACTGTTTTCAAGTGTATGATATTGTTCCAAATTCGGAAAGTAAAATCGGAATGGAAAAATTTATTTTTGAAAAAAAACGTATAACCTTGCACGCAGGAAACTACACTAACGATCAGATCATTGAGGCAATATCTCAACAAGCACCAAAGCTTCTACTTGCAAAAGGACAAGAATCCAAAAAAAGGAAAGCGTTTTCCATTCAGCTACTTCCCAATAATCAGAAAGTGCAAATCATAATCGCAGCCAATACAGTTATTTTAGCGATTAATAATGAGTTGCTCAAACGAATATTAGGAATTCACTATCGACAATTGTTTGGCTATCCAGATTCTGTAAACACGAGTGACCAACCGCAGAGTGTCGACGGTTTAAAACAACTAGAAGAATTTTTTATTGAAAAGAAAAGGCAAGAACAAATTTCGACAGCGGTATCACCAGCGGCAAAAATCTCAGCACCCGTAAAGGAGGCAGTATTACCGCCTTCACCCGAAGTGCGAATAAAACCAACTCCAACTCTACCTTCTGTGCCAGTATCCACTACGCCGCCGAAAATAACGCAACCGAATTTAAAACCTGTCGAAGGCAGTCAAGCATCAAGTTCAAAGAAAACAGGTCCGTCCCAATCTTCTAACCCTTCAGAGCCGGTACAAAAAAAATCGAAGCCAGCGCCGATTTTAATAAAGAGTTTTACGTGCACGGCACAGGAAGCTATCAACGCGAAGATTGGAAATCAATCTTTGTATATTTATTGTGATGTCGCAGATTTTACTTTGCTGGGAGACACATACGCGCAAATTTTAAGAGCAGTGCCTATTAAGGACACCGAGGCATTCAAAATTATAACCGAACGCTTTGAAATGCCTCATTATGTTCCACTTTTACGTCCGATTTTCGACAAAATTGAGGTAACTATAGCTACGGATCTCGGTGATAACGCTAAATTCTCGACCGGAAAATCAATGGTTAAACTTCATTTTCGGCCGGCAAGATATTAAAAATGGGCTATAAAAATTTTGTTCCGGAAGCAAGCTTATTTGATGATTTGTTGGGACATACTCAGCTAGGTGGTGGATTTGTGCGTTATCGCGGAAGCTACCAGAACGGTGGCGGTTTCGGAAGTTTTCTTCGGGCCGTATTTTCCAAAGTGGCGCGCTTTGTTGCGCCAGTTGTTAGGGCTGCTGCGCCGCAAGCACAAGCTGCTTTAGCTGCAGCGACTCCTCATTTAAAAGAAGCGGCGAGCACGGCAGTACAAGAAGTAGCCAAATCTGTTGGCAGCAGAATTGCACAAGCTCATGCCCCAGCCCAGCAGTCATCTAACGGTGGCAAAAAAGGAAGAAAAGGGGTATTAAAGAAGGCATTCAAACGAAAACGCATTACAAAAATCGGACGTGTTCCTCCATTTGATCTCCCAGATTACATATAGAAAAATGACTTCCATAATTGAAGGATCGGAACCCGCTATTGCCGCTGAATCGCATATCTTCGCAATTCCTCCGTCTTTTGCAGACCGGTTCCGAACGGAAGAGGAAAGAATAGGACCAACAGCAGCAATTCCGGAAAATATTCCGGCCGGTGGTGACATTAATTTTTACATTGCCCCCTCATCAAATGCCATGGTTTCCCTGCCAGACTTAAGCATAGAATTAGAAGTAGCATTAAAAAAAAGGAATACAGACAACAGTTGGGACCGAATCCAAATGACGGATACTTGTGCTCCTGTCAATAATCTAATTCACTCAATGTTTCAATCAGTTCAGGTTTCAGTAGCTAACCGACTGGTTAGCGACTGTGCAATCTACTACCCCTACCGGGCAATGTTTGAGTGTCTACTGAGTTATACGAAGGATGCAATGGGAACACAGCTGACTTCTAGCGGTTTCTATTTGGATAAAGCTGGAAGCTTTGATGACGCTGCTGGCAACACGGGAGAACAAGCTCGCCTAACGCTTTTTACAAAATATGAATACATTCCCCTTAGCGGAAAATTATTTTCCGACATTTTCATGCAAGACAAGCCATTGATAACAGGAGTTCCACTACAGATACGTTTTGTTTTGCATAAACCAGAATTTTATTTACGCGATTGGGCAAATCCGGTAACCAGTGAATATAGGCTGTTTATACGCAACCCAAGAATTTTCGTACGACGTTATGTTGGTAAGCTAGGGTTGATAGAAATTATTTATTCCAACTGAAAAAAATTAACAGTTTTCTTTGAAAAAGTTCAATTATGGCTATTACAGGTGTTCCAGAGTACATGAATGCCATTAGCAAGCGGTTGCTGACAACAACGGCAAAGTATCCAATTGAACGCGTTCTCATGCGTCCGATCGAATTACCGGCTAATATTCAAAGCACTGTATTTAACAACATTCACATTGGTCAGGTTCCGAAAGTCTTATTTGTAGCTTTTGCCACTGCGGATGCTTTCAACGGCACAAAAAAGGCTAATCCTTTTAATTTTCAACATTTCAATTTATCTCAAATCAGTGTTGAAGTTGATGGACAATCCTTCCCTAACCGACCGTACGAACCGGATTACGCAAACGGAAAGTATTTAGACTGCTACGATGGTCTTTTAGACACTTTAGGAAGGCGCAATAGTCCTTTCGGTGCGCTGCCATTTAATCGAGACGAATATGCAAAAGGATTCTGCATTTATGGTTTTGACCTGACTCCTGGAGGAACTGGGCTTGGCCCACTGAGTTTGATTCGTCAAGGGAATCTGGGTATTCGTGTAGTCTTCAGTGAGCCGCTGAGACAGCCGACGATCATGATTACGCTTCTTACGTTTGACGCGGTGATAGAAATTAACAATTTCCGCCAGTTAATTTGTGACTTTACAAATTAATATGGATAATCTGACAATAACCAAACTTTTATGTGAGAATTCGGAAACAGCAAGAATATTTCAAGGGGTTTATGCCCGTGACGCACTTCCTAAACGAACTGAAAATTTACCAGCAGCCTACATTGTCAACACGGACGTATCCACCGGACCTGGTGAACACTGGTTGGCATTCTATCAAAGTGAACCAACGTCAATTGAATTTTTCGACTCTTACGGACGGCCTGTGGAGCTTTTTTGTCAGATTAAAGACTGGATAGCTAATTTAAAAGTCGTTTATCAAATGGAACGCATACAACAAACATTTTCGACAGTCTGCGGGCAATTTTGTATTTTTTTATTCATAAGCGCGCTAGCGGAGAATCATATAAAGACATTATTCATTATTTCACTGAGAATTATGCTAACAATGACGCAATGGTTTGTCAATGGATAAACAATCACTTTAACATTAACACAGCAATGTATGCAGAGCTTACGTAGAATTAAAGGAGACAAAGAAAAATAAAGCAACATCAGCACATCTTTTTGGGTTTTACATTTCCTTTTTTTGGTCCCTGAGGTAGTAAAAACGGTATAGTAGTAGTAACAGTATCGTTAGCAGCAGCAGCAGCAACAGTAATAAACATGAATTTTTTTGGGGTTTTACATTTCACAATTTTTTTTTATCACAAGATGCATGCAGAAAAAGATATTAAGCAAACGAGCACACAGGAGAACGCTACCGTCTTAGGCGCTATCGGTGTTGGAGTCGCCAACGTTGCCATCGCTTGCACTGGTTCCATCTTCGGCTTTAATGGCGTTGTTAGGTCCTTTCGGCTTCCCATTGACAACTTCCGTAAGCTTCAGCTTCTCCACGGCAATTCGCTTGACGGATTCCCATAGCGCTTCCTTGTGCTGTTCCAGAAACTGCTTGGCGTTGAAACTCAGAATGTTGTCGAATCCAGTAAGTTGACCCCATGGACGTAGCAACAGCATCATCCCAATCAACCGCTTACCGTTACCGAGCTCGGTAATGATGTCGTTCGTCATCTCGTCGGTTAAATTCAGCGGATTTATACCCCACTCACACGAATGACTAGCCTCACGGACAGTCGGCTGTGTAAACAGCGTAAGCATTTCGCCACATCGAGCACAGTTTTCGTGCAAGCGATCCAACCACATACCATACATGGCAAACGGCAATCCAGTCAGCAGGGAAGTAAAATCGGCATCCGCCAAAGTTGCAGTTGAAACCGGAGACTTACGTGCTTTCAACAGAGCATCAATGTCACGAAACATTGTCAGGTCCTGTATGGTCGTGCGAAGTGATTCAAAAGACTTGATGCCGAACGAGACGCCGTTTTTCGTGGCCTGCATGTCCCCATTCCCTCGCTTACAAAACTGGCGGATGTTTGCCAGTGCCACATTATCATAACTGGACCATACAAAGTAGACATCATTGCCAAGATGGAAGAGCGTTGACAGATTGCCACTACTCAGCTGTGGGTCGCGAATTAATGTGGCATTGGCAATGTTGTTCTAGATTAAGCCGACAAGCCGCATAAACTGGTCATTAGTCAGAAAAATGTGCTTCTCACCGACCGACCACTTGGCATCCGGACCTGGGTTGCTGGTGGTAAAATCCCCGATTACAAACTCCATGGCTTGAGTTTCGCTGTTAATTCGAGAGCAAACAAACTTATCGTAACCGAATTTCATCGTAGGGAAGCCTTCGTAATAAAACGCAATCTTTCCGCTGGCAAACTTTCGCTTGGCTTCGCCGACTAGATCATTTTTGTCGGGAACAAACGAACGCTTAACTGGTGGCAGGCCAGTCATTGCTTTTGTAAAGACTGCTGCTGCTGTAACACAATAAATCTGAATTCAATCAGAACCAAGAAAATCAAAATGAAAAGAATGACAAGAAGACTGACGAGAGTGCAAAGCAGACGCAGTCGACACAAGTGTTGCTGCTATATATCCACTGTCTTATGTCCATCAACAACAACTCTTCCATCGGGTTGCAATAAAATGAAGTGCAGCAAAATATTTCTCTGTTGCACAAAATTCTAGTGCGTAACAAGTATTACAAGCGCGTTGCTGTTATAACTTGCCAGTCACGCAAGTTCTCACGTCGTATTTGGCATCGTTAGGCGATCCAGAAGGTTAGGCTGATAGCTTATTTCATCAGGAGTAATTAGAAAATACCTAGATCCCTAATGGATCGTTTCGCAGCCATTCGAGGTACGCAGCAGCAGCGGCCTGATCCGCGATATCCAGCAGAGAGTGTTGAGAACCGTATGGAAACATTTCGCAACTGTGGGGGTAAAGTGAGCGAAGAGAATGCTCGAAAGTATGCTGAACTGTTTTGGTACTGCTCGGGAATCAAACATCAGATTCGTTGCCTGTTCTGCCACAAAATTAAGGGGACCTGTGAAGAAGGCATCTATCCAGTGGCTTGCAATGATGTTTGCACTGGGACAGTAGCTTTCAGATATCGGCAAGCGGCGTCAGCTAAAGTAAATGGAATTGTTGTCGACATTGATCAGGATAACATTGAGTACAACCACAGGGCGCCGAATAATCCAGAGTGCGAAAAGTATAATGCAATGTTGGCTAGAGCATTTTCTTTTGACGACCGGCCATGGCCTGCCGACAAACGACATTTGGTTTACAAGCTGGCCGAAGCAGGCTTTTACAATTGCGGTAAGTTTACCATGTGCGTGTGTGCGTTATAAGCAAATGCGATTAACTGCCGCATTTGCAACGGATGCGGCACAGCACAACTGCTCGGCTTATGGGCGACCGTTTAACCAAGGCGCACGGGGGTGGGGGACCCCCGTTGCTCGCTTCCGAAACGTTCGAAGAATGTATCGGAAGCGGTAAACAACGACGACCGGAGCGCTTCGCGCTCCGGGCGTCAGTTGTTTACAGGACAACACAAGTGTTTTCTCTGTTGTTGTGCCAGGGCTAGCTTCACCGGTACCCTTACTACCTCCGGATATCATTCGCTGCTTCTACTGCTATGTTTTTATTTCCGGATTACCGCAAGATTTTGAGCCATGGATTGAGCATGCACGAGTCTCTCCGGCTTGCGTCTATGTCATGAACGTGAAAGGCAAACGGTTCATCAATGATGTCATACGGGCTTGCCGGTCGCCCATTACCGATATTGGCTTTTAAGGTAAAGAAAAATAAATATGTATAAACTTGACACAACTGCTTCTGTAATTCTTTCTCAATATTGCAAACAGTCTTATATAAGATTTTGTTGTACAACAATTTATACATGAAAATACTTGTGTGATCCGCAGGTGTGCTGGTTATGGACACGAAAGCAGCTCTCTTGGGATACGAACCAGCGGCCATCGAACGGGCGAAAGCAAAGAATAAGGGGCGTTTCTACTTTTGGGAAGAAATGGAAGAAGCGCTCGAAAATCCGGACGTGTAATTTTTAGAGCAGACGTATTCACTGAAGGACGCTTTGGAGGTGCCTGTTGGAGACGATGCGAGCACTGTTGAACGACTGAAGTGTAAAATTTGTCTCGTCCGCTACGCCAACACGATGATCACCCCGTGCAAGCATCTGGTCATGTGTGGACAGTGCGCAAAATCTTCACTGGAACCAGGAAGCCAGTGCGCATTCTGCCGTCAGGCAGTGGAATCCGTGACGTCGATTTACTTTACTTGATAGCACGTTTTTCTGTGCAAGAATTTGTCGTGCAACAAAATATCACACCGCAAAATACTGTGCCTCATATTACTTCTAGTTTACATATATATTTTTACATGTTGAAGATTTCATGGCTTGTGTGTTTTTTTCCTACTCTTTCTGACTCAGTTCAGATTTACTTGCAATATTGTTCTCATGGTTTTCGATTTTACGTGTCATACACCCACACAACAATATATCTGATTAAAATGGACAACAATTTCAGTTTTTTGGATGATACAGAAGATATTTTGAATGTGCTGTTGAAGGAATTTAATGCTAATCCACTTCCTCTACCACCACCACCACCACCAACACCAACAACTACTGCGACGGTGACAATGTCATCGTCTTTACCATTTTTGTCAAATTCTGGTGCATTAGGTAAGGGAAACAGCAGCAGTAATAAAACTTTTATTAGTCTTTTAATATTACCCAAAACGGCAGTAAAAATAACCAGGGATCGGCAACAATAATATAAGTTGTGTCTATTATTCAAAACTAAAATTGAACTTTATGAATTAAGCAGTGACAGCTGCAACAACAACAGCATCAAAAACAAAAACAACGGCAACAGCAGTTACACTTCAACCCACGGAAAATTTGCCGCATAATCAGCTGTCTGCACAACAGCCTGAGATACTGTCAAGTCCGTGGTCGCCACAACCGAATCAACCAGTTTTCAAAGGTCAGAAGCCACATTTGTAATTACTAATAAAAAAATCATAAAATTATAGGAAACTTGATAATAAAATATTAATTTTTGAACACTTTTGATGTTCTGTTTTAATATGTTGCAGACGAAACAACGGGAGCTGAAATCGTTCATTATGGTGACATAAAAATATATATACTGGTTTCTGATATCACTATTGTTAAATTGTCATTTTTTTCTTGCGAATAAGAGTATTTAAAATATACAAGGTCTTTTTGTGTTACAGTAGGTGACCAGATATTTCGTCTAACCACTTTATATGGACGTCGAGAGGATTTGAAACGTAATACTTGTGTAGACTCACATTGGTTACTACGTGCTATTGGAAGGGGCAGAAAAATAAATTTTCTTAATAAATTCTCCATAATTTTGCAGCTATTAATCCAGTACCTGGTTACACTGCGCGATATGAATGCTACAATGAGCGCCATCTCTACATCGTCTTGTCACCCTACAACATCCTCCCGGAATTGTGCTACGGTGATCAGCAACTACCCATTTCGTCAATCGAAGAAATTTTAACTACACTGCCCGCTATACCAACAGCTGTGGCACCCGCCACTACATCAATCCAACACCCACTTCAAACTGTTT